AACCACACCACAGAGCAAGCTTTCTTTTTAATCGCAAACTCTTAATTTCCCTTTTATGGCCTAATTAAATTAATACACTTTCTTTCACTAAACTTTTGTTTATCATATACATATACATCTACGAGATCAAGCACTTTCGTGATTTGTTTTGCGTTAATTTGTTGGAATTTTCTTAAATGGGTTTCAATTAAGAGTGTCACATTTCTTGATTTAGCTGATTTTTATTGATCATCATTCGTCAAAGTTTCGATCTTTACGAAAAAAAGGAGAGAGTTTCGATTTTTTTTTTGTTCTGTTTCTGATCCAATGGCTGCAGTCACTGAGATGCACACTGATGTTGTCGACGATGTTCATGAAATTACCGATGGTGAAAAGATCATTGAGAAGAGCTCGATCACGGTTTCTAAACCCGAAACTGAACCCGAGCTCAAACCCGAATCCGAGTTTGATATGAAGAAGCTTGTTGCCATGTTCAAGAAACTGAATCCTTTGGCCAAAGAGTTTTTCCCTTCTTATTACAATCCGAAGAAGGACAATCAGATTGGGAAAGGTGATCAGTTTCTGCCGGCTGATGATTTTCCGACCATGAAGAAGCAATCAGGTGAAGAATTTGATCCTGATTGCAAGAAGGATGATAATACCCGAAAGGTATAATAATCCTTAAACTTTTTTTATATGATCAGATAATTTGGATTGGTTATATATATAATAATTTAATCTGATAATGTGACATTTTTGTTGTTGTAAAGCTGTGAAATTTGATTAATTTTTGTTTTGTTTTTATGTGAATTCAGAGAAGAAACAACTTTAGCCAAGGGAGGAAGAGGTTAAGTGGAAGAATTTCTAAGGCTCAAAGAGAAGATAGTATTAGAAGAACAGTTTATGTTTCCGACATTGACCAGAGTGTAAGTTTTGTTATAGTCTCTTTCAAGGTTATTGTAAGGAATTGGAGTTTAATTTTAGATCAATGTTAACATATATCTGCTTTATGATTTAGGTGACTGAGGAAGGTCTTGCTGCATTGTTTAGTAACTGTGGGCAAGTAAGATTATCTTCCAAGTTTTAAATGCTTGGTTATATCTTTATGAGATTCTGTGTTTATGTTACTGCTAAGAAACTTTTGTGATCTTTGGGGGTGGTATTTAATTGTTTGTGAAGTAACATTTGAGTTTTTCTTTTGTGAAGGTTGTTGATTGTCGAATTTGTGGCGATCCACATTCAGTTCTTCGGTTTGCGTTTGTTGAGTTTGCTGATGACCGTAAGTTTGGCAGCTGGATTATTGAAATGCTTTAACAAAACATTTTTGTGTCAGTCTTTTGACCCGTAGTAGCCGTTTTTCATAGTAAATTTGTTTCTACAGAGGGCGCACGGGACGCTTTAAGCCTTGGTGGAACAATGCTCGGGTACTACCCGGTTAGGGTCTTACCATCCAAAACTGCTATTCTTCCAGTGAATCCCACATTTCTTCCCAGGGTAAGAGCAAAATGTTCCACTAATCAAATTTGGTTTAAGTTTTGAGTTTTGAATAAACTTTGATATATACTTACGTTGGGGTTAATTCAGTCAGAAGATGAGAGGGAGATGTGTACAAGGACAATCTATTGCACAAACATCGACAAAAAGGTAAAATACTGACCAATCTACACAAACTTTATTGCTTTTTTTTTGGGTAGTATCTCCTAAACTAAGGACTTTTTTCGACGACTTCAGGTTTCTCAAGCCGATGTGAGAAACTTCTTTGAGTCCACATGTGGTGAGGTCAGCAGAAGCTATACCTACTTGATGTTTCTCTTGGACTCTCTCTAATTTGAAATTTTATTATAAGGAGTGATGCTTAAGTTGTTTTCTAATATACGTAGGTTACTCGCCTGAGGCTTCTTGGCGATCAATTGCATTCAACTCGCATAGCTTTTGTTGAATTTGCTCTGGTGAGCTCTTCAGCTATTCACTAAAGGATCACCTAATACATTCCCTATATTCAGCTTCTTTTTTTGCTCTTCTTACTGATGACAATATCTTGAGTGTAGTGTCTGAATAGGGATGAAAGATCATTGAAAAATTTGCTTGGCGTTGTTTGACCTACAATCTCAAAAACTTATCTTTGTTTCTCTTCAAACGAACAGGCAGATAGTGCTCTTAGGGCGCTTAACTGCAGCGGGTCGGTTGTTGGATCCCAACCGATTAGGTAAATTTCATTGATGGAATGTCTTAAAAATGTTTTTTTTCTTTTTCTTTTTGAATATCTCAATTGAGTCAACATTTGGCTCTATTTCTTTTCGTCTTCAGGGTAAGTCCATCAAAGACACCAGTGAGGCCAAGAATCACTCGACCACCATCGACACACTAGACGAGGCCTGACTAGCTAGCTGGCTTTCGCGAAGAGATGATTGCAGACATTCCATTTCTTTCGTTAACTTTTTTTATTTTTTCTTTCCCGGTTTTCGTCATCTTTTTCTCCGTTCTAGAACAGTTATCTCCAGTTATGTTAGTAGCTGGAAACACTATGATCCTGCTTCTGAATTTGGAATTCTTCTTAGGCTCTTATATTTTTCCGACCGAGATACTTCCATCTGTTTCATCTTATTTCTCTTAAGGGGTTTTGTTTTGGAGCATTTGCTTTTCAAAGTTCTTGCCTTTTCACAAAATCTTTTATTTGTTCAAGCTTAGAATTCTGTTTGAAATTTTGAACAAAGAAGTCAAGTATAAAAGTATAATGTTTCGTGTGTGAATTACAATGTCGTGTGTATCAAGTAAGGTCTTAGTGTCGTTGTGTATTCCTTCAAGAGAAGATCTCACCGTCGATTTCCACATGTGGGATTCTGAAGAAGAATTCTGTTTCTGATTCCGTCAACAATGGACACGAGCTTATTCTCAGGCAAGTCAAAGAAGCAGGAAAAAGA